TCCATGAGATTTTCATGTCCTTGTCAAGAATGTGCTGATCTCAATCTATATTCTTGTTTTTTGCTCTTTAACATATTCTCTTGGCCCATGACTCGCCTATGTAGTACCACTTGGTTCAGATTACTATAAATTGTGGTGTAATTTGAAAACAAGAACTATGATATCAGCAGAACCTTCTACAAAGTTACCACAGTTAGCAAATACTGAGTCACCCTTTCTAGGTATAAGGGCTCCCATGAGCCTCTCTTTAACTTTCTTTCAACAGGTCAATACCTAACCTTGTACCAGGGAGATGACTCAGTCAGGCAAATTCTTGCCGTGCAAGCATGAGGACCTGCGTTTGATCTCTAGACCTCATACAAAAGTGCCAAGTGTGGCGATGCTAACCCCAGCACTGAGGAGGTGGACATGGGTTCCTAGGACTGAACTGTAAGCCAGTCTAGCTTTTTCCATGGGTTCCAGGGCAAGTGAGAAACTCTGTCTCAAAAATCAGGAGAATGATATTTGAGGAATGACACTCAAGTTTAAATACTGCCCTCTACGCACACACACACACACACACACACACACACACACACACACGCGCACACACATATACACGCACACATACACAGATGTGCCCCCTTCTGCATATAAACACCCTCCTTACGCTCTGCATACATTATCTAACCTTCCTTCATGTGTGTCTCTGTTGAGGGATACCTTACTTGCCATGTATGAAATTTATTAACATTAATTCCAGCTGTCTTCTCCCTTACTCATTCCGAATTGACTCTCATTCATTCCATACACTTCCTCTCAGGACTATTACTAGGGACATAGCTTTGGAGAGCTAATCAGCTACCAAACACCACTAGACATGGTTTTATAGTAAAAAAAAAAAAAAAAAAACCCAAAGCACAACATTCCCAAATGCAAATGTGTTTGCAGGATCAATCCCTCAATCTCCATTGCAGTCCGGATAGCAGGTGCTTCTATTGATTGCCGCAAAATTCATGTTTGTGAATAAGCAGAAAGGAGATGGAAGCTTCGAATCTGAGGTTAACTAAATGTTAACAAGTATGTGAGCCTCCAACGATAGAATTCACAAACAATGAATGCAATCTACATGAGATTTGTTAATGTTTTCTCCTTCACTGCAGCTTCGACTGTGAGCCTCAAATGTACTTGCCATGGAGGAAAGGTGTTTAATTTTAATGAAATCAGATTCACCCCCCCTGCTTTTATAGGCCACACTTTGGATGAAGAGTCTAAGAAGTCTTCTTAGTTCTGTATTTAGAACATATTTAAAGCCTTTCTATTTTTCTTAATGCATTATAGGTTTGTATTATTATTTTTAATTGAAAATAGTTTTTTCATACAGTGTATTTTTATTATGGTTCCCCTCTCTGACTCCTCTCAATTTCTCCCCCCCCCTCCCATCTGGATCCACTTCCTTTCTCTCACTAGAAAGAAAACAGAGTTCTAAGGGAAAATATTAAAATATAATAGGATAAGACAAAGCTAAGCAAGTCAGAATAGGACAAAACAAACAAACAGAAGGAAAAGAACCCAAGAAAAGGCACAAGAAACAGATACAGATGCAGAGACACACTGGTTTGCACACACGGGAGTTCCATAAAGACACAGAACCAAAAAATTGCAAGCCATGATAAATATACAAAACCTATAGGGTAATAAATAAATAAATGAAAATTAATTCTAAAATTAAAGATAAAACTTAAGATAAAACCCTGATATAATATTATGAGACAAGGAACCTCTGAAGATGCCTTTGAGCTGAGTTTGTTTTCTGTTGGCCAATTACTGCTGGGTCTGCTGTCTACCATTAAGAGTGGTTTGCTTCCCCAGTGAGACTCTCTTGGGTAAAACTAATTTTTCATTAGCAAGATGTCTTCTGGCTTAGGGATGGGAGCAAGTGTCCGCTTCTCCTTTCTACTCTAGGACTCCATCTGGTGCAGACTCCTGCAGGCCCTGTACATGCTGCCTCAGTGTCTGTGAGTTCCTATGTGCAAAGGTGCCGTATTTGGAGGACCTTGTTTTCTTGGTGTTCTCCATATCCTCTGGTTCATACACTATTTCTGCCTCCTGCTTCCTCCTCAGGCTTCCCTAAGTACTGAGGGAAGGGGTTTGATTGAGACACTCCATTTAGGGTTGAATGTTCCTAGGTCTCGTACTCTTTGTATATTGCCCGGTTGTGGGTCCCTGTATTTGTTCCCATCTGCTGTAGGAGGAAGCTTCTTTGATGACGGTTGAGTAAAGTATTGATCTATGGGTAAAGCAGGATGTCACAAGCAAGCATTTTATTGCTATAGTCTCTTTGTAGAACAGTAGTATTTACTTTTCCTCTAGGTTCCTGAGCTTTCTAATCTCAGGTTCTTGGTCATCCACACAGTTTCAGGCATGAGTTTCATCTCATGGAGTGGGTCTAAAATCAGATATTGATTGGTTACCTCTACAGGCTTTATGCCACCATCGCACTAGGGTGTTTTACATGTAGAACACCATTGTAGATAGAAGGGTTTGTATCTGGGTTGGTGTTTACATTTCTTGGTAGTGTGCAGTATACTTTCTAGTACTAAGAGCAATAGTCAGTAGGGGTAAAGCCTCTAGGTGGGCTCCAGCTCTACTTCTCTATGTTAAATGAATTGTGTAGGTGATGACTTCATATGTTTAGATTTTTTTCATCTTTACTACTATAAAATAGATTTTTCATTTAAGTGCAAGACCAATTTGGGAACAATTTTTGGGGGAGAACATTTTTAAAATGTAAAATGGAACTTTAAATCAGAGGTTTGTTCATAATTATTGTTTTCTATGGGTGTTCATTTGCATCAAGAAAACATGTTAACAAGATGCTTTTTCCTACATTGCACACAGAATCTCTCTCTCTCTCTCCTCTTCCCCCCACCCCCCCGTGTGAGTGTGTGTGTAAAACAGTGATGGGGTCATGAATTTAAAAGGAGTTAGTGGGAGAATAGGAAGAATTTGAGGGCATATAAATGATACAAATATATTATTTGTGCATGAAATTCTCAACACAAAACAAACTAAAACACCCACAAGTGTTGCTGGTGTATTTTTGACCTTGTTACTGTGGGGTGAAGGTGGAATTCTAGGTTCCTACATAGTCTCCACTAAAATCAGCGTCATTACTATCTGCTAAAGATAAATGTCTGTTTCACAATGGAGATGGAAGTTTGCTCTCAGCTAAGGTGAAGTTTTGTTACAGCCTGGTAATTGTCACCTCTACAGTGGCTGGAGGTGCTGCCATTTTCTGTGTTCCTGGGAGAATGCAGACAGCTGCTATCTAAAAGTTTTCTGTTTTTGCAATGTTCTTCCCTTTCTGTTTGGTGTGTGTGTATGTGTGCATGTATGTGTATGTGTGTGTGTGTGTGTGTGCATGTATGTGTATAGGTGTTATGTGTATATATATATATATATTTGGTATGTATGTGTATGTATATATGTGTATGTTTTTGTGTGTATGTCTATATGCAAGTGTGTATGTATATATGTATGTATGTATGTATGTGCATAGGTGTTATGTATGTGTGTGTGTGTGTGTGTGTGTGTGTGTGTGTGTGTGTGTTCAGTCATTAGTGTTTCTGGTTTGTTGGCTAAGGCACCCCCCAATATCCTGTTTAGGACAAAGGAGGTAAAAGCAGAAGGAAGGGAAGTTACTGTCTTCCTTCCCTCTGAGTTCTTAACCTGTCTGTCTCCCCATCTTTGCCTCCTTGTGCTTATTTTGTACTGAGAGAGTTTTACCTGTGCTTGGGGGAAACAACCAGAAAAACATAAGCATTGACTGTCCTATCCTTGAGGCAGACATCATGCCAGATAGTTACCTTCCTTCCTTCCTTCCTTCCTTTCTTCCTTCCTTCCTTCCTTCCTTCCTTCCTTCCTTTCTTCCTTCCTTTCTTTCTTTCTTTTTAATTGTTTTGTTTTTTCCCTCGTTTGGGGGCCTTATTTTGATATTCTTCTCATTTTACAAATAGAAAGAAAGCTCACAAAATTATGCAAAAGATTCAAAGTCATTTAGCTCACACATATTACAGAAAGTTCATGAATTTACATGGTAGTCAGATGTAGCCAGCTCAGAACTCTTACCCAGACTCCAGTCATATGATCAGGGCCTGTGCTCTGAGAGTCATATACCCTATATTCATCATGTACACATCAGAGTAACACCCAAGGCCTTCACCAGGAATATTCTGTTCTGTACCACTGACATAGTGGCATACAGCTTCCTAGCTAGGAGCACAGCGAGACACAGGACAACTGACCTGTTCACTGTCTATTTACTTCCATTTCACCTTTCCTTATTGACATTTCCCCTCCTCATTGGTTTGAAAAGTGTGGAAGGAGAGGACAATTATGCCAGAATTTATCTTTAAGTATATAATATATAAGCAAAAGAGGCATTAAAAATAAGCACCAAAGTGGACCCAGGGAGAGGTTCCTAAGAGCTTGGGAGCCTGTCCCAGCTGTGGACGTGATGGAATGAAAATGCTGTAAGACAAATACAATCGGAACATGGTTAGTGATATATTCAGAAATGGCAGTCTGGCTTCTACACACCCTAGGGAATTGTGTATGGAGAGGGCTGTGTGCTGTATTTTACAAGACAGCAAGTTAGTCCATATCTGGATTTTCAGTCTCATATGTGCTGTCTTCCTGTGGCAGTTCGTGTTTCTGAAGAAGCATGTCTTCATAAGACTGCCACATGGCCTATCTGTTCCTTTTCTGTATTGGCAATCACCTCCAGCCTTTTTCAGTCTTATGTGGTCACAAGTGATGCAACTTCCTGTCTCCCACCATACCCTGTCTCTTACCCTTTAATTGCTCCAATAAAATGCATTCTATTTTGCTTCCAGATGACTGCATCATATCCAGGGCCTTCGATGTTTTCCTGTGCCTTTCTATGTCAAGTCTAGATAGCTTTAGAAGCCACATTAAGAAGTCATATTGTTATGGCCTTGTCTCTGCTCTTTTCTTAGGTATTACCAGATCCGAGTGACCTTGAAAGTGTCCTCAAGGATTCCCCACAGACTGAGTGCTTCCATCGTTGGGCAGTCCGGTGAGTAGAAAGCATAGCTCCTGCCCATCATGTGTTCCTGTGTGTCATGGTTTAGCAGAACACAGACAGGGTAGTGCTCACTTTCAATATCTGGACCAGTGGGTTCAGGAAAGGCAGACCCACTATTGGAAGTGGATTTGTGTAAACATTGTTGTTAAGGAGGGTTGGATAAATAAAAATCATTCTTAGCAGTGGCTGGTAGCTGGGGGGAATTGTCTGCAGCAGATTGACTGAAGTCACATCCTGGATTAAATTAATGAGAAATGATATCCAGCTGATAGGTAAGGCGAAGCTGGTTGCTATGGCTTCGGGGGATTGAGTAAGTAAACAGTTCTGCTGGTACTTTCTGGGCAAATAGAGGGTCCGAATGCCATCACCTATTGTAAAAGGACCATCAAGGAAAATCCAGATCCTAATTATGATGCTGAAGATATAAGTGGAAATCCATGGATATAAGAGGAGCCAGACTGATAGAACTCAGTGAGAAATAAAGAAGCTCGTGGATTGGAAATACTTGTGGGAGACTACAGAGCAGAAGTACAGGGTAGTTCGGGAAGAAATAGGACAGAACCACACAGTCTAGTGAGTCTTAAAAGAAACGATTCGGTCTTCAGGGCAGAGAAAGAGAAAGGAAGAGGAAAAACAGGACAACTGCCAAGAACCTGTTCACTGGTAGAAGTAAGAGTGACCCTGATTGTCAGAAACAAGGTGTAGAAGAACGCTGGTCCCAGTCACACTTTATAAAACCCATATGAAATAGGCAAAAGCATCATGGTGTGTCAAAATGTGCACGTGAGACCTTATAAGTGAGAAGTGCAGACACAGAGTGAAGGCTTGTGATTATTCCTCTAACTCTAGACCTATAAAGAGAAAGACTCGGTGGGCCGCCTGCCCCTTCCTCAAGTCTGAGCTAAGCAAGCAGGTATTAGTTATTGGTTGGGTTGCCGTCTCTCATTGATACTTCTCTTTTTCATCCCCCTCTGTTGGGGGTGAGCAATGCATCTTAGGTGAGAAAAGGAGACTGTATACTCTCACACAATCTCTATGCCCCACAGTGTAGATTCAGTGTAATTTCCCTCTTTCCCATCCTCTACTAGGTTCCCTCCTTCCCTGCCTTAGTCTACAACATCCACTAAGACAGCAGGCTACTTGGACTCTGTTTTGCATAAACTCACTATATGATCCTAAGGAAATGGTTAGCACGTTTTCTTCACTTGAAATAGGAAGACAAATGTTCACCCCATGGTGTCTTTCTCTTTTTCTGGAATTGATATACAACCGCTTTGTCTTATAGAGGTGATAAATGCCATTGTGTTGTGATGGGAACTGCCCTAAAGTAAGGGCCCAAGTGTCTGCCCTAAGAGAGGCTGTAAGTCAAAGTGATGACTCAAGGTCTCTTTCTTAGAGTCAAAGCAAGATTGTGGGAGAGAGGTGGCAGTGAGAACCGGATGATTGATGGGAACTATCTGCAGGCCAGTGTGCACTTGGTCTCTTTACTCTCCGAGGTTCTCAGCAGTATGAACTCAGCTCCTGTCACTGCTACACCTTCTCTGGAGCGGGTAGTCCCAGCTGTGAGGACCAGAGACTGCTAGGCATGCAGGACCTTTTGAGGTCCATAGGGAAGGATCTGATTGAGATGGTGCTGCAAAGACAAAGAAAACCAGCAAGAAATGCAACTTCAAGATAAAGCCCATTTCCTCCCTGGTCTAGTTTGACAGGGTAATGGTGGTGATGTAGCTGTCATGCCCCTGAGTTTTGCACTCGAATTCCATTTAGAACAGAGAGCCAACTCATGCCGGCAGTGACTTATGAGCAGACAGCAGTTTCATGGGTGAGAGATACAGTGCATATTTATTTCTCCTTCAAGGTGAATTTTCTCATTATATCACTTTCCTCTGAATGTCTACATTATCCACAAATCTTCCCAAAACTTGGTGCTTAAAACAATGGCCTGTTCTGCTTGATTTTTTCAAGTGGACTGAAGTTGCCTAGCCTCAGGATGTAGTACTGTCTCCCAGGCCTTAGCTGGGATGGAGCCCTTAAAACTTCTTCACTCCCAGGTCAGATTGATCTCTCAGGTCATTACTTGAAGAATAGCTAAGCTTTTACATGTAGTTGGAGTATCAAACTACTTTTAAAAATGGTAGCTCCATTGTCAGGTGATAAAACAAAGAAGATTCTACATTGCTCCCTGACTATGTATGGATCTGGTCCAGGGTTTTTCTTCTGTATCCCATTGGTCAAACCTAGGGCAAGGTTGTCCATCATTACCTGGAAAAAGAATGTGCCTCTTCCTTTCCTGTGAAGCTTTCCCTTCAATCCCTGGTGGAGAAGACACTGACAACCATGATTACAGACAATCATCTAAGCACGCTTTCTATTGTTTGTAGATATCTCTGTATAGAAAATAGCAAATATGAATGTTTTGGAAGCAAAATATGAAGAAACTAAAAAATCTGGGCATGTCAAAGGGTCTCTACAACCCCCATTAATTGACCTGCCTTGTCAATGTCAATGTAGTTTATTTAGTTTGTTCTTTTGTTACAATTGTCTTTTATGTAAACATAGACAAAGCTTTCTGGATCTCGTGGGTGCAGGATTCAGTAGAACCAAGTGTCATCTACACTGAGATGTTCATATTCTGATTCTTCTCCCCCACTTCCCAACCATGTGAAATTAAAAGTTGATTTAGCTATTACCTTTCTAGTGCCTTATCTATAAGTTGGGGTCAGTGGGTTTTACTTATCCTCACAGGGTTTGTGGTGTGAACTAAACAAATTCACTGAGAAAGATAGTTACATAGTTGCTCAGCTCAGAGAAAGTTTACAGTAATTGTTCACTAGGCTAAGTGTGGCTTTGATGCAGAGTAAAGCTATTTGCTATATGTAGCTTTATGTAGAATCTGCTTCATGTAGAATCTCAGTCCTATCCTTAAGGATGAAAGTGTTTGCATCATATGGTCTCACAGTCATCTCATGAAATAAAAGTAATGAGAGTCATGCAATAGAGGCAGAGTTGGCAGACCCCTGAGGGAGCAAGCAAATCTCTAAGCAGGAGCAGGGCGCTAGGTAGAGGAAGAGATTCGTCATGGGACCTGGAAGATCAAGAAACTAAGACTAGATGAGGCTATAGAAGGATGGTCAGTCAGAGGCCACAGTATGACCCCAATCACTGGGACCTAAATGGATCCTTGATTCTCCTTGTCCATGTAGATTAGATCTAGCATATTGTGGGACCTGGGACAACAGGAGAGGAAAAAAAATCTGCTGAATTTGTACCACATGAAAGAGCAAAGTTTTGTCTGAAATGCATAGAAATGAAGGGAGATACTTAGATCAAATGAGCCCAGTGCTGTTCAAATGCACAGTGTTCTCAGCAATTAAACAGTGGGTATGCTTTCTCTCTCCTTCAAGCAAATTAGTTCTTTGGTAAATGTTACACATAAGCACATTTCCATGGTTCATATGGCTTAGATGCAGGTTCTGTAGGTACAAAACAAAGTCACATTGAATTTTGCAAGATAGCCTTTCGTGGTTAGACCCCGTACAGCAAATTCCGTGTGCATAACCTGTCTATCCCTGCATTACCTGTCATAATACTTTTTAAAAGGTCATTTGGAGAGATTTTTCTCTGGAAACAGATAATTTGCTCTCACCTTGGTTAGCTGAGTGGCTTGTGAGTTTGTGTTGGTTAGGAGCACTCTTTCCCTTGGGCATTCTAAAAGATCCCAGTGTCAGAGAAGGGACAGGTACTTGATTAGGTGACAACTGTAATTGAGTTAGACATGTGCACAGTCATGAATGTAAGAGACAAAGAGGGACACCTCTGTGTGAATTTAGTGACATTAGAAAGTGTAGAGTCCTGTCTCAGCAGGTTTCAGGGCCTGAGATGGGGAAGGGGCATTGGTGAACAAAAAAGTCTAACTGCCAGAAGCGCTTCACGGAAGTAACAGCTCCAAATACCTTGAACCATCTTTTATTTATACTTCAAAAACAAACATAGTTTCTGCCATCCTCCAGAGTTAACCTCAGGCAAAACAAGCATGTTTTTCCCAACTTTTAAATCAAAGCAACTTTTAAATCAAAAACATCAGTGCTCAGCATTTTGCTAGCTTGTCTAAATATCAAACCAGACATATCCTCTCCTTACAAAACTAAGAGGTGATAGACACAGGCACACATTCACAAGAACAATGATATCATTCAAAATTAGCAAAGCGTATTTACAGAAATAAGCCGGGGGGAGGTCTGCCACAAGCTGCTTTCATATAGTTTGCTTGTACTTCTCTGACTGTTGGCGTGTCCTACAAAAGGGTCCTGCATGCCTAAGCCCTTCTATAAAGGGTGAACTCTGATAAGGCACATGTTTTCCATTGTGCCATACCATTCTTAATGCTTCCTTCTAGAGCTGGGAGACATAGTGATGTTCCGGTGTTGCTTTCTTATATGAGCCCACGAACTCTTATTGCCTCTGATACTGTTAGCACTCAATCAGAAAAGTTCCCAGGGTATGAAATAACAGCTGGTGTTTCCAGAGAAGAATGCGAGAAGCATCAGTTCCCAAAGAATTTTTGGGGAAAATATTTGAGGAAAAAAAATGGGTTTTCTGAGGATGGTTACTTCTGTCCTATTTATGACTGACAAAGTGAAACCAAAAAAACCACCAAGAGTATCACCAACATTATGAGAGAGAAGAGAGCATGCAGGTCACGCCGCCCCAGCAGTATTTTGGTATTCTGCACTGTCCCAAGGTCCTCTTGTCTTTGCCTAATGAGAGACCATCTCCACAGGTTTTGCCTTGCAGAGACCGGCTGAACAAATATTCATATGCTGATCTGAAACTAGGCCACATGGCTCCCAACAGGAAAGTTTGATCCTTTCATTAGGGTCTTGATTATCAACAGAATAGGAGATTAGAGATTACAGGTAATTGTCTAGGGCATCCCTCGACTGTTCTCAAACCTAAAAGAGAATAAAGACTCAGCATGCTATGTCTCTGTT